CTTATGAATATTTGAATTCTTACAAACTTGAAACTATTGTGAAAATTAGAATTCTTGTAAACTTTTGTGAATCTTGACCTTTTGTGAATTTTAAAATTTTTGTGAATTTTTTGTAAAACTTGAAATTCTTGCAAACATTTATGAATCCTGACTTTTTGCGAATTTTGAAATCTTTGTGAATTTTTTGCGAAACTTAAAATCTTTCAACTTTGTTATGGAACCTTGCAAATCTATGAATTTTCAAATTGTGAATCTTTAGATTTCAAGCTGAAATTTAATTTTTTGACCTGTAGTTTAATCTTGGTTCAATCTGGATCATTTATTTTTTTGATGTACGGTTCAATCCCCTTTACTTATCTTCGATCTTGGTTCAATCTACATCATTTATTTTTCTAATTCGTGGTTCAATCTTGACATTCATCTTCAATCTTGATTCAATCCAAATCATTTATTTTTTGACTCGCGGTTCATTTTTAGTCACTTGCTTCTAATCTCGGCTCGGTCCAGATGATTTTATTTTTCTGATACATTGTTCTTTCCTGGTCACTCATTTTTTATCTTGGCTCAGTCCAAATCATTTTATTTTTCTGACTCATGGTTCGATCTCGGTCACTCATTTTTAACCTCGAATTGGTTCAGATCATTTTTATTTTTTGACTTACGGATCAATCCTGGTCAATCACTTATTATCTTGTTCAATCTAGACCATTAAATTTTTTGACTTGTGGTTCAATCTTGGCCATTTTCATTTTTGTATTTTGACATACCTCAATTATTTTTTACGTTGACTTAGTTTAGCTATTTTCACATCCTGATTCGACTTCTGTTTTCAGGCCCAAATAAAAATGATGTCTAGATCTTTGTATCATCTCTGTTTTATAGGAAAGTGCAAAGAGAGGCAACTATAGACACTCGTTTTTATCCAAGATGTGATCAATTTTTTGAGTAGCTACAGGCCCCATTTTTGCCTGAGGTGAGATTTATTTGGCCCAATTATTATTATTATTATTATTATTATTATGTTTGTTTTTACTTTTAATTTTATTTTTCTTTTATTTCTTTCTTTCATTTACTTTCTAAGAAAGAAACTGAAGGAATAGAAAAAAAAGAAAAATCAAATCAATTTTCTGGAATTGGGTAACAAATGTTTTGGGATCTATTTATGTAAATTTAGGAACCAAATCAAATAAGATTTAAGCCTAAGATCAATCGCCCAAATCAAGCAGAGTAAATCCTAGGATTCAAACCTAGATTAAATCTATTTAGACCCTAAAATTATTGCTGAAACAAGCAATAAATTGAACGTTAATTCACAGGGGAAGGGGAGGTGTTTTTTTTTTTTTTTTTTATCTTTCTGGGTTTGGGTTCTTACCACGATTGAGAATAGTTTGGGTTTCTGGTATTTGAATTGCTAGGATTCTCATGTTTAGGTTTATGGAAATCTATTGCAATTGGTTGAAGTTCTGGATGAATTCTAGGAAATTTTAATTTTAAAAAATTTTTTGGGTTAGAGTTTGAATTTTTCAACCAAGGTCACGGTGGTCGGAGGGTGTCTAAGGTGGTCAAAATCTAGGTTCATCATTATTTCTGAAAAATTTTAAAGATTTCGACAGTCAATTGAATTTTTTGATACCAGAATCTAGGAAATTTGGTTAGTGTTTTTGGCTAGTTGAATTTTTTGTTGAATTCTAGAGAGAAGCTAGAGAAAACTTCAGCTAAAGAGAGGGGGGCTGAGGCAGGTCTGAGAAAAAACATAGGACCTTGCCTTTTATACCTATGCAAAATGATGCCGTTTTGAAAAAGCTTTAACCCACGTTCGACCCATGTGTATGCCCGCCTTTGAATCTGACCCTATCATAGGTTTTTCTTTTTTCATTTTATTTTTCATTTATTTTATATATTTTAGATTTTCTTTTATTTTACCTATTATTATTATTTATTTATTTATTTTTAATTATTATGTTAATTTCCTTTTGAATTTTATTTTATTTATTTATTTTATAAAGAAATGCTTTTAAAATAAATTCATGAATCCTATCAAACTATTAGAGGATTTTTCATGAATTTAAACTTTTATGAATTTTACCAAATTATTAGAGAATTTCATAAATCGATTTTATAAAAAGTTATTACTAATAAAATATTTTCTTTTGATCTTATCAAACTATTAAAAAATTTGCATCTTAAATTAAATCTTACCAAACTATTGGAAGATTTAATACATTTTTTAAAAATGAATCTACAAGGAAATCTCACGAAATTATTAGAAAATTTACATCAAAATAAATCTTACTAAATTATTGAAAGATTTTACTAATTATTTTCTTGAATAAAAATATGTTAATGAATCTGACGACGGAGCTATTGGGATAGTTCACATATGAGTAAAGAATCTCAAATCACTAGAAAATGTGAATGAGATGTCTTATATATACATGGAGAATCCAAGAACCTAATAGTTTAAGCTTTTGAGCTCAAATGATGTCTAACATGTATGTATGGGTCTTCTAGTGTGCTCCTGTAGGCTCTAAGTGTGACTTATCTCCCCATCAACTAGTATTAGAGTGAAGGTTTGACTTAGACGCAATGAATGTGTGGAATCAAAACACCTTAGAAGGCAATGTACTGAGTCAATCTGTGATAGAGTGCAAGGTTAAGGTCGTGATTAATTGCCAAGCTTGAAAGACACTAAGACAACGTAGGTAGTAAGGTTGTGTGTTATTATTAAGTCCACGCTTGAGAGGCACTGAGACAACCTAGGCAGCAAAGTTGTGTGTTATGATTGAGTTTAAGCTTAAGGGGTATTAAGACAACCTAGATCCACATAAAGGCAAGGTTGAATGCTAGGCTTAAGGTGCACTGAGACCATCAAGATGTGAGGTTGCTTAATCCAAAAAGAAGTGTTGCTAGGACTTACTTGCATAGGGGAGCTAAGGTGAAACTTAATTAGAACTCACAAGTGAATGGGAGAGATTGTTGGGATAGTTCACATGTAAGTAAATAATCCTATATCATTAGAAAATGTGAATGAGATGTCTTATATATACATAGAGGACCTAAAAATCTAATAGCTTAAGCTTTTGAGCTCAAATGATGTCCAACATATATGTATGGGCTCTCTAGTGTGCTCCCACGGCTTCAAGTGTGGCAAATCTCTCAACAACTAGTATTAGAACCAAAGCCATGGGTTTGAGTCCCAGTAGTGTTACTGAAGGAGAAATTATTGGTAGATCGAAAGTTGACTACATCCATCAACGTCATGTGCTCGAACACCATTATCAGAATGAAAGGTTTGACTTGGATGCAACGAATATATGATAATCTGCAAAAGCGAAACACCCAAGTGGACGATGTATTGAGTCAACCTGAAGTGCAGGCTTGAAGAGGCACTGAGACAACGTAAGTTGTAAGGTTGAATGTTGGGCCTAAGGTGCATTGAGACCATCCAAGACGTGAGGTTGCTTGACCCAAAAGGAAATGTTGCTAGGACTTACTTGCACAGGAGAATTGAGGTGGGACTTGATCAAAACTCACAAGTGAAAGGGGGAGATTGTTGGGATGGTTCACATATGAGTAAATAATCCCACATCACTAGAAAATGTGAATAAGATGTTCTATATATACATAAAGAACCTAAAAACCTAATAGCTTAAACTTTTGGGTTTAAATAGTGTCCAACATGTATGTATAAGCTCTCTAGTGTGCTTCCATAGCTCAAAGTGTGACAAATCTCCTATTCAGAATGGGACACTAATCTCCATAAATACTTTTAAAGTGAGAATATTATCTTAAATTGCTACCAAACTATTGAAGTAATTTTAAGATCAATTTTTAATATTAAATATTTTGATAAATTATAAATATGATTAAGGTTTAGATAATTTGAAATCAAACTGGTACCATCCTTTGGATGAGCATGCTACAACTAGGGTGGGCAAAATCACCCGAACCCGTCGGGTTTCGACCCGACCCCTTAGGGTCGATTTTTTTTTTTGAAAATCGAGTATCGGATCGGGTAGGGTCGGGTAGAGTAAAAAAATTTTTGGGTTCGGGTCGGGGTCGGGTTTTGAGCAAACCCGACCCTACCCGACCCGATATATATAAAAAATTTATTTTTTTAATTTTATATTTAATTATATATATTTTTATATATATTTAATTTATATTTATATTTAAAATAATATTTTATTAATTTCGGGTCGGGTCGGGTCGAATTTGATTTTATACAATGTCGGGTCGGGTCGGGTATTAAAAATGAAAAAATTATCGGGTCGGGTACAGGTTCGGATATTGCATATTTAAAATCGGGTCGGGGGCGAGCAAAAACCCGCCCCCCGACCCGTTGCCATCACTAGCTACAACCTTCTTAATACGTAACTGTACTCTCAAATTTAAAATATAGTTTCGTGGACTAAAATATACTATTTAAAGATACCTAAATCAATTTTGAGACTGCTTTTTAAATAAGACAAATTCAATCAGGTGACTAATCACACCTTAATAAAAAAGATTGATGGTGACTTCCTAAAATCTATGTTTAGTGATAAATCAACGGATCTATACGTTATAACAGCTACAATAATTAAATTATTAATATACTTCACTATATAGGAGCCAAATATGGTTGAAGTTTATTAACAAGCTAGCACCTATACTTTGGCAGGCTACAATCAATAGTTATATAAGCATTTCCAGGGTTTTAGAGAGGTGAACTTAGGCCGTTGCTGTTTGAATTATTTGTCATTTCCTGTACTCTTCCATGCAATGGGAACAAGAGAAAATACTGTTTAGTGTTATTTTTACAACGGGCTGCCCGATAGGACAGCTCATTTATATATATAGGATTAACAATTGAACATAACTCCTGAATTTTTGTCCATCCCAGTAGATGGTAAGTGCAGCTAGTATAATTTCTTGATGGAACCAGCTGTAGGTTTCACAATCTTTTAAGGGCCAGCATATCTGATAACAAATAAGAACCAGCACACTACAAATGGAAGGTACTGGAGAAACTGGAATTTCACATTTCATCAGCAGTCATCATCACTCAGCTATTCAATGCTATTAGATGCAAATTTACATATATTGATTCTGAATCTGATAGTTGAGTAGCGTGCAATAATTATATGCCTTCTGTCAATATAATTATATTAGTAAAGTTAAAACTTGTTGTTAGAACTGTCAGCTTTTGACAAGAATCACTTGTTTATAATCTTCTGTTTGGATTAATGTGGGAAACATTAGACATAGATGGAATTCCTTTAATCATTTTCATTAATGTTTTCAATAAACCCTAGAATATCACCGTTTGAGGATCTAGATCATAGAATCCCCTATGATTATATCATTTACCTCAAAGTTTGTTTCCTTGAAAATTATAGCAACATTATATCTATTTCTTACTCTTCTATCTATAAAATGCTGCTATAAAATTTAAATCAACTTTTTTTTCCTTGAAAAGTGCTATACATCATTATTATTTGAACCATAATATTTTGCATATTATCAAACCAAGGAAAAAAAGACAGTTCCAAAGAAACATGCATAATTTGTTACTCTATATATGATGACGTACAATTCAAGAGAAACTCTAGTTATTGTACTCTATATTGAGACGCATTTCAGACACCCATACAAATTTTTACATTTTTTTTTTGTTTCACTTGCTTTTAATTGAGTTTGAAGCAGATATATGGATACTGGACAAGAACAAAATATAGCAAGGATGTCAAATCTCTATTGCAAAACCTGGCTTTATCTTACAACGAGTGTTTGAAATGTTATTTGTTACAAATAAATTGAAAAAAAAAAAAAGAAGAAAAGAACGTTCACCAATATTTCAATGTTCTTTGTTGCACATAAATTCCTGTTATATATTTGGAAATAAGATTTGAGAAGAAGAAGATGCCATTGCAAAACACATAATCAAATATATCACTAGAATTTGATAACTCAACTCTGAACAGGTAAACACTAAATAAATGAAGAAATTGGAAAAAATAATAATACAATCATAAAATGTTTATGGCTAAATATTAATATGCATAATCATCATCCAACAATTAAAAAAAATAACAAAGGGAGGAAAAAAATAAGTACCATGATATTTTTTTGAAGTTAAAAGAACTTTATGGTAGTCATTGTTGGCGATGAATCCTGAGGTTCAGAACCCAGTCTAAGTTCAAGGTCCAACTCCGACCCTGATGAGCCCTGCCTTGACGACAAGCCTTTTTCACTGCCCCCTTGAACTTGACTGCTTGGATTTTGATCTGTTATTGATGGTTTTTTATCAAACAAAGGCAGTTGCCTGATTTCTGATCCAACAAGGCAGGTTTTGTCTCTTTCTTTAACATCATCATCCTGAATAACCCAAGGCCACTTTCCGGGACTATTTCTTTCTTGACTAGACTTAGAATCCGCTATAGGCTGTGTTGTGGAGCTCCGATGATTCGGAGAATACGAGGGGATAATCATAGGGATGTCCAAAGATTGTTGAGTAGTTTCAGTTGGTGAAGCTTGTTTGGACTTGGCTTTGTCTCTACGATGAATATTCATGTGGCCTCCCAGGGCTTGTGAATTGGAGAAACCTCTCTTGCAAAAAGTGCAGTCATAGGACCTTGCAGCTGCAGGGCTTGTTCCTTGTTCATCGGAGGATACCTGGTTTGGGTTTTCCGGTGCAGGCTGATCAGTCTCCATTCAATTTAGCCCCTTGTAAGAAAGATAGGGAGAGACGTGGTCAACTGGAAGATAGTGAAGGCGTTTTTATATATAGAGGCCTGCTATTCCCTGGAACTACAACTGAAATGATCTGTAACTTCCTGGATTTGGACAACAATACCAAAATACAAACGTAAAATAATTTTTTTTTATATATTTTATCTTGGAAGGAAAGATTGGGCAGCGGTTAGTCTTTCTTTAATAAATTTGTTTAGACAATATCTTTTTGGGACTATTTCAATTATATTTTGAACAACATGATTTATATATCGGTGGATAAACCTGAGAGATATTCGTTATATAAGATTGGTCCAATAACTTGAGAATCCAAGCAATGTTTGACTAGCTGCTACTACATTTTTATGGTAAAGAATCTATGATGATTTTGTTGCGAGTTGAAAACGAGTTGGAATTATGATATGTTACAATTTTGATTAATTAATATATAATTTAAAAAAAAAGAATTATAAATTTAAAGAACATATATATATATATAAATCAAAGTAATGCAGTCACTGACAAATTAAATATGGAGATGTGATTTTGGCTACCAATATTGGGTTGCCATTATAAAATTTTCTATTTTCATGATAGAAGATGACGATTATGGCTGCATTTGAAATTAACAATAACTCTCGTTGCAATTGAAATTTATGTCAATCTATACGTAAATATCTTTTTGGATTGCACTGAACGGTTCAAATGGTGTTGTATGTCGGCCATTTGTTCATTTTTTCTTTCACGTTTTTTTCTTTTAATTTTTATTGTAAATACAAAAATACTCTTACACTTTAATATTTTTATTTTTTTATTAAATTTTAATTATTTACTATTATAATTATTTTTTATTATAAAATTAATTGAATAAAATTTTAATTATTTATTAATTTTATAAATATTAAATAACTTGAAATTTATATATATAATTTTTAATCTAATATTTTTAATGAATTCTTTTCATTGTAATTTATTAATTAACACAATTACTTTTACATTTAAATATGTATTTTTTTATTAATTTTAATTTTATTATTATAATAACTAATTTTATTTTTATTATTATTTTAAATTTTATCAAATTATCGTTCATCCAAATAAAGTAATCTTATTATTCATCGCATTAATTTTTCTATTTCCACGGTATGTAGAAGATGACGATGCTTTTCTTACATTAATTACTTGTCAGGATAGGAACTATTGACGTTCTTTCTCTTTTCTTTTTCTTTTCTGCTCAAATAAAATACTATTTTCCACAAAAAAAATTCCTTCTCATTGGCACCAAACAAGCTTTTGTTGGCTACATGAATTTGAACAATTCAACATTTTTTCTTGCATAATTAAATTTGGCCTTTCGTGTTGCCAATGCATACGTATGTGCTTACCCTTGTTTGGATAGAGCAACAGCCAACATAGATGGAAGCAGCTGGCTGAGGTAAGATTAATCTATAAAACCATCCGTTCTCTCTTTGCCATGTGGATACCTGAGAGGTCACCTATGTTATGTATATCCAATTTGCAACGGCTAAATTCATAAAAAATGAGCAAATAAAAGAGTGATCATTTTGCTAATGAGAAAGTATATTAAGAATTTTACAAAAAATCATATTACGAATATTTATTCTTGAATTAAAGAGTGTTTAATTTTCTTCAATAAAACCTCCAAGTTTTATTTCTATATATGTTTTTCATGTATTATGTCCTGAGGGATGACATTTAGAAAGACATCAAGTAAACTCCAAATATGCACCTCCTTTGTGTGACCAAGACTTTATTTTAAGGATAGTGGAACTGTCACGTTGACTTGGTAAGTTTAGTTGAAAAACATCTGCCAAACAACATTTTGTAATATGAGAAAGTCAAATAAAAGAAGAACAGCCAAGTTTATTTTGTTGGTAGTACACTAGTACTGTTATATATATGATCAAGGATATATAGAAGCAAATAAGAATGGTCTATGGAGCAGCAGCTCCAATGCTCCAATGGAAGAAATACAAAGTAAATTACGATCAAAATCTTTGTTCTTATGCAGATTATTTGTCTTTTCCTAGACTGGTGTCTTGATGTTCAAAATTTGCATTATCAGTTTTGTAAGTGTCAAAAGATACATCCTTTTCAAATAAAGGAAGAACACCCAAAACCCGTTTTTATTTCCTTTAAACCCCAGCTTAACACATTACAGGAGATTAGGTTTTTAGTGAGATTTTTTTTTCATATTTAGTAGTGTTTATAAACGTTACTAAAAGATTAACGAAAAATGTCAGTAAGAGTGTCAGCTATACTTGTATTGTGAAAAATAGTGACATTTTTAGAAAAATATTGCTAAATTAGTGATGTTTTTATTATAAAATACTGTTAAATTTAGTGGTGTTTATAATAAAAAGTATCGCTACATTAGCATTTAGTGATGTTTTTAAGCACAAACGCTACTAAATTAATAAATTTATTTTTAAAATTTTTTTTTTAATATTGATTATTATCATTGAATAAAAATATTAAAAGAAATAAAAACAAACTTAAATTTATAAACTGAATATTATAAATACATAATTTATTTCGATATGGCTGGAATACAAAGTTTAATACATGCAATAACATTCAAATTATTTTAGTATATTAACCAAAATTCTAAAATGAATGGAATTGATGACTACATAGATTTGAAACAATACTATTTGATGAAAGATTTTTTTCACCTTGGTCACTAGCGTGCTCAAGAACCTATTGACTTAATCTTCACTTTTGCATCAAACTTTTATCCATTTAATACTTACTACATTATCAGACCGAAATTATATAATTAAATTAGATGTCAATGAACTGTAACATATTTAATTATACTAAGTATTAAATAAAAAATAATAACAAGATGATATCAGAGATAACCTATTACAATGCAAAAAAAAAACGTATTGCGCGTCATGCATTGATATCATGTTTTTTAAACAATGCAAAAAAAGAATAGAGATAACATCAACAAAAAATTTATATAAATTTTAATCGAATATTCATACATCTAGAAACCTACAATGTAACAGAGGAAGATTAAGTATGTGACAAATACTTTACTTTACAGTATTCACAAATGACTATAAATGCCTTTTTTTGGTTCTCTATCTTCTGTTGTTGATGATTTTTATTACATCGAATCTTTTCAAATAAGATTAAGTCGTTTTATCAAACATTATAATCTAGAAAAACAAACAAAACAAATGTCAAGATAAGATAAAAAAAACATAATAGATTATTTCAGAATGGTTTCCTAAGTATCTTGAATGATCAACAAATTCATATTAACAAGTAACAAGTTTTTAGTAATGTCAAAAATATTCTGTTGAAAAAAAAATTAAACTTAAAATTTCATTCGTGTTTATAACTAAATTCAATATTCAATTTCAAGTTTTTCAGAGAAAAATCTTATTTCTTTCACTTTTTGTTTTATCTTGAATTTTTCTCACCAACAAAATAAAACCAAACTTAAAACTGCAATAACAAAATAAATTGGCAAAAAAAGAAAAAAAATGGCCAAACATTGACAATTGCCAATATTGAAATGGTGCTTATCAATGGAGCTTGAACGGTGGCAAAAACGCAACAAATTAGATAGAAAGTTTAAGGATTTGACCCAAAATACAAAAAAGCTAACTTGAAATTTGCAAAAACGAAAGGAAAGAAGATGGAATTGACCCCAAAATCACTAAAACTTAAGCAAAAAATGAGAAGAAAGTGACTCAAAATGAGCAGAAATAAAAGAAATGAGTAGTAGAAAGAAAAGCAAAAAAGGGGTCTCGCAGCTTTAAGAAAAATTTAACAGTGAAAAAGTGTAATTATTCAAGGCATTTTTTGGCCAAAAACGCATTCAATAATCCCTTCAAATTTTTTTTTAGGATTATTCAAAGCATTTTTGAAAAAAAAAAACGCCTTCAATAATCTCCACCAAATTTTTTTTGGATTATTTAAAGTGTTTTTGGCTAAAAACACTTTTAATAATCCTTTTTAATTTTTTTAGGGGATTATGCGAGGCGTTTTTAGCCAAAAATATATTGAATAATCTCCTTTCATTTTTTTGTGATTTTTCAATACGTTTTTTTTTTATCAAAAACACCTTCAATAATCTCCTCTAATTTTTTTAGAATTATTTAAGAAATATAATGGCGTTTAGGTTAACAAACATAGTGACATTTTTAAATCTAAATGCCGTTATATAAAAATTTAGTGGTATTTTATAAAAAAATACCTCTAATATTATAAAAATACGGAACTTTGTAGTGTTTATTTAAAAAAAAAATGCCACTAAAAAACAGCCACTAAATCTCCATTTTCGTGTGGTTCCTCTCTTTTCAAACCCAAAATTTCCTTTTCAATTCGCTTGGGTGGTCTGATCTGTTTTATGCATTGAACCTTGGTACATCAGAACATCCTTCGTTGAACAAGTAATTTTCTTTTTCTCTCAGATCTTTTTTATAGTTTGCACTGAGTCCTGATTGTATTTTCACAGTAATACAGCTGGATTATGATTGTGATAGGCAATGACTTCCATTCTTTAGCGTAATAGCTTACATGCTTGTTTCCCTATTTAATATCTACTGTATTGTTAGATTGTTTTAAGTTAACATGCATAGCACCAACAGAGGTTTCATCCTTGGTGGCATTCCTTTGCCTGCCTGCATCATCTTACATAACCGGGTCAGATTATTTGTGTTGATGGTGACATGTCTGTAAATGGTTTCTACCAAAAAAATTACTAGAAACCGCCAGTTAGCCTAACATGTTTAGTTTGTCTTGTTCCTCTCTATCTTCCTATTTTATGTCAAACCAACCGCTGTTAAATTTAAAATTAAAAAGCTTCACATTATCCTGATTTCCACTGGATTTTGTTGGCAATCCCTTGCTCATTCTTTCACATTTGAACAAGAACTTCTACCCTTCTAAACTTTCTTGTGCTATAATAGTTTTTGGCTTTCCTTAGCTTATCACTTGTTTTTCTTTCACTGGTATAACATAATTTCCTTCAGTTTTCTTATTTGGATTATAGCCACTGTTGTGTAATCATAATGGCATGGGTAAATTCTTTCAAAATTCTGCCATGGAAATGGCTATTTGACTGGCATAGAAGATGTGTTATTTCCCATGTTTGCATTTGCGTCCTAGCTGTCTCTTTTTCTTTTTATTGAATTCTTCCCTAAGCGTTCTCTTTCCCTCACTTATTTTTTGGATATATTAGCTTGAAATGATTATATTAGATATTTAATCTCAAGTG